CGCCGTCACATGCTCATCCGCCCTAGCCGTCAACGTCTCTAGCTCGTGCATCTCCGCCGTAGGAGTCACTTGTTCGTCCGGTGCTACGTCAGCTCGGGTTGCTGCCGCCAGGCCCGAATCGTCGTCGTCTCTATCACCCCGCGTGCGGGACATTATCGTTCTGTCGCCGCCTCAATGTCCGTCGTAGTCGCCATCGTGCCGTCCGTTGTCTGAATTATTGCTTCGTCAGCTACCGTATTACTCGTCACTGCCGCCACGCTTCCGTCTGCCGTACGTCTTCTCGATCGACGCCGACGCCCAACTGCTGCCGCCACCTTCGCGGGCGCTCTCGATAAAGCATCGGCCACGACATTTGTACTGCCAGGACGATACTCCACCTCGAACTCAAATTCCTGAAGCGTTAATGCCCACCTGTGTAACTTGCCGGTCAGATTTGGACTGGTCATCAACCACTTCAACGCAGAGTGATCAGTCACCACAGTAAACTTTCGTCCGTACAGGTAGGGCCGGAAAAGCTTGATTGCCCACACAACTGCCAAACACTCAAGCTCTGTGATGCCGTAGTTCGCCTCGGTAACGCTGTTCACCTTGCTGGCATACGCCACGGGCTGCCAGCCCTTGCCATGGTCCTGCATCAAGCAGGCACCAAGACCCACCTTACTCGCATCAGTCACTAAGCGGAATGGTAGCCTGAGGTTCGGGTAAAGGAGCAACGGCTTACTCGTGAGAACCGTCTTCACGTGCTTAAACGCCGCTTCCTGCGTCTCCGTCCATTCCCACTCAGCCTCCTTACGTAAAAGCTTTGTCATAGACGCCATAAGGGCACCAAATCCTTCAATGAAGCGTCGATAATATCCGGCCAAGTGAACGAACCGCTTGACCTCAGTTGCATCCACAGGCTTGGGAAACTCATGCACCGCCATATTTAGTCGCTCCAAGGGCCGTACACCATCGGAGCTCAACTCGTGCCCCACGTATTGCATCTTACTTCTCAAGCCAGGGCATGCCCAGGATCATATCATATGGATCCATATCGAGAACAGTGAACTGTTCGAGGCTGTCAAAGTCTTCAAACTTGACAGCCAGATCCACTTGGACGTTGGGGACAGTGACGACCTTCCCGTCGGCCAGTCGCACTGACACCGTCCCGTTGCCCTTGCTTTCTCGCAAAGCATCGGACAACTTGTTGCTTTTACGAGCAACCGTCTGGCGGCGTGCGAAATTCTTCGACGCCCCAGAGTCAATCAAGATTCTTAAGGGATGATCGTATCCCCGTACACATCCGTCTACTACGAGCAACCCGCCGCTGCTCTTCGCCGATTCGAGAGTGCGAAGACTCTCAGGGGCTAAGTCCTCGTGGTACGCGCCACCCGCGCACCCATCACGAAGACTTAGTTCTTCCCAAATAGGGTGCCCCGCCCCTACTGATTCCCGGCGTTCCCCTGTCCCTGGGATCCTGGCTTCTGCCATCGACCCTTGAGGACGGGCTTGGGGAAGGACCGTCTGCGGAGTCTTTCCGCGGGACAGTCGCGCTTGAAGTGGCCCATCTTCCCACAGCCGAAGCAGCGGATGTCACGCTGTTCGGCGGACCCGAGCTCCATGGGAACTGGTTCGTTGGGGCTTGCCCGACCGGGAGCCGACAAGGAACTCCCAGGCCACGCTGAGGCCGGCGTACGCGCCTGGCTATGGCTGTACTCTTCTTGAAGAGCCACTTGAATCGCCTCTTCAAGGGTGCTTGACTGCACCCGGAACAGCTGAGCGCGTGCGGGGCCCACTCGAAGGCCGTCCATGAACACAGTCATCTTGATGTGTTCGTTGAGTGGGTTTCCCACTAGGGACGCCGTGAGCTCTCGTATCTCTTGCACATACTCGTGCAGCTCGCGCCTTCCTTACTTTACACGCGAGGAAGCGCGAACGCTGGCGATACTCGTAGTTCGCCGGGAGGAACGCGGCTCGGAGCTGTTCGCACAGCTGAGCCCAGGATGTGAAACATCCAGGGGATGTTGCTTCCCGAGTGTACACCCAACTCTTAGCACGACCGCTAAGGTTGGAGAGTGCAAGCAACACGCAGTTGCTCGGTCGAGATCAGAGCCGCGTCCATCGCGAGCTCTACTTCTCGGACCCAGAAGTGAAGGTTCTCGCCTTCCTTCCCTTCATACGGCTTTACTTTCAGCCGTATTGGCTTCGGGTGAGGCGGATTTGCTTCCGCCGCCGGAGCCTGCAGGTTCTCCCGCACATGCGCGATGAGGCCCTGCTCGTACGCGTCGAATGCATTGACGCGCTCGAGCTGCTCAGCCGGTGCTGATACCACCAGGCTCTGCAGGGCCTCCATCCCGAAGATGCCTGCCATCTTCCGAACCGACTCGAACTGAGAGTCGTTCATATGGGAGAAGTGGTTCCTATCCATGGCAACGAACTTCGGAGAGGTTCAGGTAGTCTACCCGCGGTGGCGTGGATTGACTACGAGTGCTACCAAGTGTGACGGGGTCACACAGCACCTTGCGCTAGAGGAAGTTATCTTCCGAGAGTATACAAACTCTCAGTGAACGGCAGTTCACAGGTCCCCTCTTTAATTAAAGAGAGCGAAGTGACCCACATAAGGTAGATTGTAAACTGAGTATATTTATAGGTAGGTTAAGTTTGGGTTTAATACAAACTGTTAGTTACCTATAGAAATGCGATGTCATTTAACCAATGGGTTGACTTTGAACGACCTTGGTACCTTGTACCA